TGCATAAGGCAGTAGCAATTTAAATTTTGACAATATCTTACAGACAGCAATAAAATTTATCAAAATTAGTAATATATCACAAAAAAGTATTAAGAAAAAGATTTGTTTGGTAATCAATGTAATGATGCATAAATAGCAGTAAAAGAACAATAAAAAATGTAAAATAGAATAATAGAAATTTCAAATTTTCTATTTTTCAGATTTGTTGGTCATCATTGACTGCAGTTTTTTTAGATTAGAAATCTCAAATTTTCTATATATCTGCTTCTTCACTACCGTACATAAGCCGACCAGAGGCTGGGCGGTAAATTCGCTGAATAATAATAGAACTAATAATAGAACTACATTTTGGGTGATGCAAATAATATATAAAAATCATTCTTCAGTACGTTTTCATTAAAACTAGATAGATTTTTTATAAACCTGTACTAAGTACTACATGGAAGTAGAAAAATTTGATTTGAAATTCATATATCTTTATTTTTCTCGGTTTTTAATAAACGAATATTGATTCCATTCCATATGTTGAGCTTTTGTATGCGATGTATTTATTGCTAACGAAGCTTCATTCTAAATATACGGACAGTATATTACATCCGCATTTATATATAATACCAAACCCTCATTGCTACATTTTAAAATCATGCAAATATTAAGGCTCGTAATAGAATAAAACGCAGTATTTATACACGAATATTCTCAATTTAGCTTGCATGCGGTTTGTTTAAGTAACTGTTCAAACGTGGCAAATATTATATTATCTTCGCTGTAAACTTCGTTCATTTCATAATCAGTACTTCAAAGAAGTTTTATTACAGGTTCGCATTTAACAGAAATCTTTCATGATGTAGGCTCATGAGAGTTAACGAGGATAAGCAGAACCTAAAGAAAGTTCGGCAACATTTTTACGGAAGCTTAACGAAACGAAAACACCTCTCTGGGTTTTCGTTCAGGTCCTTTAACTTTATTTCCTGCATTAAAGAGGGAATAATAAAGAATAAAAATATGGTTAAATGCAAGTTCTGATACTCCTCATGCTGCCAATGATTCTGCACTCTTAAGGCAAACATTAAAGTTACAGTTTTATAGCTTTTAAAACTTAGAAAAGCTTGAAAATCATAAACGCATTAAAAAATAAAAGTAATAAATTTAAGAAGGTTCTGAAAACGTATTCAATATTTTTATCATGAAAGTCATCAATATATACAAACTAGTCGCTTAGTAGTATATAACCGATTGATCTTTCTGCATAATGAAGATATTAGAAAGAAAAACACGAGGACTAACTTTAAATTACACATAAGCATTTATTTATGAAATGCTGTAGAATTATTAAGCCTGATGACTTAAGGAAGAACATTTTCAGTCTCAAATTGTTTTAAAGTCTAAAAGACAAATATTTCTTAATATAATGCATTTATAAAAACTGTATAGTTCTTTATTTCTTTTTGAATGTCCTAAATTTGTAAATGAAACTTTTATTTTGTCTAAGTTGTATTCATATCTTTGATTATGCTAAAATGTTTAACTAATTACTAATCTTGAAAAGTTTTATAAATATAATCAGTACCTTTTATTACGTAAGCTTTAACAGACATTTTTGAGACGTATGTTTTACAAAGAAATTTATTGTAATTATAATGAAAGGTGGGAACTTTAAATGGGCTTTTAGGTTAAAGCTTTAACTGAATTTGCATATCTCATAATACCATCACCAATGATTTTCAGTTATTCCAAAGCTTTATATGTATGATGCATCTCCATATTCCTGCAGTCAAGGATTAAAATTAAGTAAAATTCAAAAAAGTTTTTCCTTTTCCCTATCCTTATGAAAGAATCATCTAAAACGTGTGCCTTGACATAATACATTTTAACTAAAAATTTCTTAAGTATACACATGTTAACATATAAATTAAATACTGTACGTTATGCGCAATATTTGTAAACGGTTATTGAAGTATTTAATTGACAGCACTTAAGGCACTACCGACTAATCTATTCGTGTCAAAACATTACTAGCTAATTTATACAGATTACAGATGATTTCAATAATTTCCTCGGACATATTTAATTTTCATAAACGTATAATTTTTTATTAAAAAATATTCTAAAAATTAATTTTAATATGAAATAGGAAAAAAAATGAACTGTAAATCAATAAACTTTTTTATTTAAAACTAACGACATAAATTTATAACTTTTAAAGTTCGAATCTTATTTTGATTTTTTTGCGCTAGAGAGGAACATGTCATTCTTTTACTTATTACGTGCTTTTACTTATTACGTCATTCCTTAGGCACTACACGGAAAGGGAGGGATGCCCCATGGAGATCTTTTTAAGGGAAACTGGCTCGTATGCACGTTACACATGGGGAAAACCACGAAAACGCCCATGCAGCCAGCCCTTTCGCCGGGATTCGAACCCCGGACCGAACTACGAGTGTTCAGCGGCTTTTACCGTTCGGCCGCTGGTGGAACGAACATGTCATTCATACACTGTTTTTAAAATTTTTAATTTTATAAAACTGTAAATCGGAACTTCAGCCTCCTTCGTTAACGGTCACAAGCTACTGAATTAGTAGTCAATTTATTTAAATTTTACTGAGTTACCCAAATCTTCCCTAAATGAGAACTTTATTTGATTTAATCGACTCCACCTTATGAGGTTATATACTGTAATAATTGATTAATTCGAAATATGAGACTTGAGACCTATGCAAATGTGCAATTTTCAGCCTACATATTTACTAAAATATTCAGCATGATTTTAAAATACAGCAGTCATCTTACGCATTAAAATGTCTCCTTACCAAACCCTTAAATTTTACATTTATGATCGATTTAACGCATGTCATATTTATAACTAATGATATTTTCATATCATAAGTTAATGTAATAACTGCAGAAGCGGTATTCCAGTATCAAGATTTAAAATGTCTTGAATAAGAAGTAAATCTTTTAAAAAGCACTTTTCTTTAGAAACATCCAGAAAAATGTTTCTCCTCGAAACAATCTCATTATAAGGATAACATAGAAACATGTCATTTTTCATTATATTTACTTATCTTAATGCAACAAAAAAATGTTGAGAATTATTTGTTTTATGTAAGTATGGCAGCATTTAAACAGCATATCTGAACTGCTTTAAATAAATTGTTCGCTTTTCTTAAATTCCAAGTGCTATTAAAAAGCACCTTGCATGCCGAAAATGCTTTGTTTACTCTCGTTTACATAAAATATTAAAAATCTCAACCAAAGGCAGGTAAGTTCGTTTGTATTTCTAAAGTGTTTAGTACAAAAAATCTATTTGTAAGTAATGCTCAAGATATTTCTAAAAGTATTCACTACTAATTGTTTCTCAGGTGGTTAGTTGTAGGCCCATAGCTTCAGTTTAAGAAATGAATCATGTGTAATAGGTTTTTCAGACTGCTTTAAATTTTAATAAGTGATACATTTTAATAAAAATGAAAGAACTTCAAATGCGTATACGGTTTCTCTATGAAAAATACTCCACTTAGTAAATTTGTTCCTTATCCTATAAAAATTCGTATAGAAATCTGGTCTGATAAGTGAAAAACTGTATTTGAAAAAACTGTCAAATTTATGTGATTTAAACTACCTTCAACTATAAAGGAAAAAGTCAGTAGTATCAAATTAAATTACAGTAAATAGAAAGTTTGGAGTTTTAATCGTTCAATAAATGGTAATTTAGAGGACATTTTTCTACATTAGTAGCTTTTTGATGTAAAAGGTAACTTTTAGAAATTCACATTCGTAAACGTAACATCCTTGCCTGTCTGTAATAACATCTGTGTCTGGCTCTCAAACATTTTAAGAAATGATATCTCCTGTAGTTTAGACCATATGAAAACTAACTTCCTTTTCAACTTAATTGGGTCTTCAAATCATTGTACTATTGTTATTTTTCTAAGAAAACCCGTATAAAATTTTTAATTTTGTATATTATTTTTAAAAATGTATGATGTAATTCAAACTGTTGAAAGCTAAAATGCTCTTATATTTGATTCATTTCTTAAACTGGAGCAACGCTTCTACTACTACCCATTCAAGAGATACTAAATCATTTATCCTTTCTCTTCTAAGAAAAACCTTGTATTTAGCTACGTAATTGTAATTCTAAAAATATTATAAATACTTTTTCAGTTTCAAAATAAATCTCAAAAAGATAAATCGACACAAAAGTTAATTTTCAATAAAATTATTTGCGTTTTAAATTATTTGTAATATAGTTTGCAATATAAGAAAATTTGTAACTCAAAAACAAAAATAATTGTGTTTTGTATTACTGCATCTTCCTTCTTGAGAATTTCAGTAAAATAAATGCAGTTAATTGTTACACTAAACGCAAGATTCAGTTGGAAAAAATATATTGTATAATAATAATTTGAGTTTCAGTCTACTAAAATGGGTTGTTTGAATGTTTATTCTTAATGTGTTAATTCTTAATGTGTTAATGCTACTTATGTATAAAACTGTATATGATGCAATAAAAAATTTAATAGATTTCCAAAGAATTATTTTAAAAGTGATCATTGTTAAACACTGAAATAAATTTTTCAAAGCTATATTAATAGTACAAATTTAAAGAGTTCTAAAGTTTAAAATTGTTCGATTATGCTACCTAAATGTAGGAAATAAATACTTCTTAATGTATGGTTACAGTATACTAACTCGATATTACAGTTACCAAGCAAACATAATCTAAATATCTGATTCGAAGATCATGAAGTACGTTAACTTTTATGAAATATTAATATTTAGATCCTGAAAGGCCTTAAAAAAGACATTTTTCTAAGATTACGAGCTAGAATTTACTGACGAGGGAATATATTTGAACTGTAAACCCTCGAGAGTAATCAAATTGAACTCAGAACCGTTAATTGGATCTTTTCAACAGATTCATTAAAACTTTTAATGAATGAATAGTATTGGTGAAGTTCTCCTAAAAGTAAGTAGTCTCTCCTTTCTTAATCTTCTAGTCGTGCAGTCTTGGAAATCCACCAGAGCAACGGCATGGGGGATTTGGGGGCTCCGAAATGGCAACTGGTCGTCTGTGTGCTGGTGGCTTTTGTAATCCTCTACATTGCTCTATTCAGAGGCGTTAAGTCACTTGGAAAAGTAAGTTAAGCATGCTGCTTCTATTTACATTAACTTTTTGCGCACTTTTATGCTCCATTTTAGTGTTCTAGAATTTGAAATGTTTCGCATGATTAAATTTATTTGAATTTAGTATCATTTAGCGTTGCTTAAAGATGAACTCATGAATGCCATTTCAATTCATAAATTGTAAATACTTCTCTATAAAAACTAAATTCAAACCAAGGTACGTAATACATAACGACAGAAACATCTTTTATTAATAATAATAAAGTTGCAGATGTTCGTAAAAATAAATTATAAATTAAGTGTAGTTTAATTTGTAGAAATTTCATAAACTTTTCAATAGAAGCTTAATAATATTTTTTTTTACTTTTAAATGAATTTACTTAATCAATTAAAGGTTGACGGTATCTGAAAGATCGTTTACCTTCTGTATTCCATTACTGCTGTATCTTACACTAGCAGTGTACATACTCTCCGATTCTAGTCTGATGATTGAATTGAATTTACTGTTTCATAATAAGTAATTTCTGTTAGTTTGTTCTCATATATATTGTAAAGCAATTTTAACTGTGTACTCCCCGTTCGTAATCCATTCCTTATACCCCGTCCCCTCTGCTGAGGTAACAAACTCGTAAAATTTTCCGTAACTTCACAAAATAACTAACGAGCTTTCATTCTAATAAGACATGTAAAATTTTATTGAGTACACGAGAATAGCGTAACCTCTATGTTACGAAATCTCAAAATATTGAATGGGATAAAAAGGAGAAATAAAATCTATAAACAATTTAGCATACTCCGATGTGCCAAGCAGGACTTGGAAAACAATGAAAAATACACATTCCTTTTTATCTTTTTAGATAAAAAGGTACTGACTGCGCTACTATTTTTTCTCTGAAAAATACTAACTACTTTCTTCCAACAACTTCTGCGTTATTTTCGGCCTACAAATTCAGTAATCATTCATTTCAGTTATATGTCTAATAACCAGCTTAGAAGAATCACGTTATAAATTTTATTGACGATATAAATCTTAAAACATATTTTTGAGCTTAAATTAAATCCCCCAAAGTCTGTATGGTAAATGTTATTCACATTGTTAAATGTTTCTTAGGTGTAACATCATGTTTGTAACGACTGTTAAACTGGCGACGCAGAAATATTCGGTTACCTGGTTACTTTTTTAATGTTAGAGTTAATCAGATTCACAAAGTTAAATTACTAAGTATAATGTATTGTTATTTTCAGGTCCAATATTTTATTTGCATATATACGGACTATTTAAATTTAATTCATAAAGACTTAATTTGTTAAATTTATTTAATGAAGACTTAAGTTGACTTAAGAAGACTTAATATTATATATATATATAATTCTGTACCTAGGCACTTAAGTAAGCTCACAGACATTTTGTCAGTTACAATAATGTTGCAAGTATTTATAAAATTATCAGTTGCAATATATTGCGAACTAAAAAGTACTTTAATTTGTTTTAATTTAAAATATATAATAAAGACTAGATTTTTAAGTATTGCTTTTATTTTGTTCAAATTCACTCAATCTGTTAAGAAATTACATATTGGTTAATTTGAAAGACAGATTAAAGACTGTATACTTTGCTGAACTCCAATATTCTAGGAAATTGCTATTTTATGAGCCGCACGCGAAAAAAAAATAAATGTTTTATGTTTTGCTGAATGATAATACTTGTCCAGTTGCGCGATTAATACATGCATGGTAGAATTACGTAACATTAAAGAACCAGTGATCCAGATATTTTGGAAAAACTGAAGGCAATCTCAATATAACAGAGGTGTAGATAATACAGTAATATATACTGTTTCGCAGCCTTCCCGTTGCAAATAATTCAGTGGTAATGGAACTGGATACACTGAGGCAGCACGCGAAACAATATAGATAATAGTATAATCAGTGGGTCAGTTTGTTGGCTGAATTGCGTGATCTTCAATATACCGGTCTCACTAGTGGCAGAGTGGCTAAAATCTTTGAATACTGGTATGTGGACCTGTTTTCGAACACAGAATGAATAGACTGGATGCAGGGGTATTTTGTAGATTTTCATATGTGTAGCGTGGATAAGTGCCAGTTTCCTTTAAATGAAGGAAGCAGATAACTCTCATATTCTTTGCCCTATAAACTAACCTAACCTTCAACGTACCGATTGATTATCTTGATTAGTAGTGGTTCGGTGTGACAATACATTGAAACAAATGAATCATCTATTGTGACAGCGAATATTCTCACATGCTGCAAATATTCTCACATTCTAAGCTCGGGCAACTGTAGATCAAAAATTCTTGAATCTATTTATTGTTACTGTTTGACAAAAATGTCATTATATTATTATCCAAGTAAGCGCAGAGCAGAAATTTTTTTCTTATTGCAAATCACTAGTACTTCAACCTGCGTTGGAATCCAGGCGAATGGGCTGGCTGCATAGCCGTTTTTATTGTTTTCTCCATGAGTAACACTATTAAGAGCCAGTTTCATTTAGAAGTGCTCCGCGATGGCATCCCTTCCGTTGGGGAGATAGCCCTCGAATGATTTGCCATAATTAAATAAGCCAAACCAATAGTATTGCAATTTCTGTAATGTCGCATCTTGTATATGTATGCAATTAATAGCAAGTTGCTCTAAAAACATCGGGATATAAAAGTTTTGTCTAATTTTCCGATCAACAGCTCTCACTTTGCAATGAAAATGCATTTTAATATATATAAATATAAAGTGTTTACTAAGTCCTTACCCAACCCTTACTTTAAAACCGTTGGTCTTAGATCTGTTAGTTTCAAAATGTTTTAGCGGGCGCAAATATACAAGTTTTGGTATTTTTTAAATTCAGAAACATCAGTTTTGTAAGACTTAAAAATTCTATCATTTTATACATTCCCTCCGTACCCAATACTGATGCTTAAGAATTTTTTATACTCATTATAAAAAGTAAAATGCAAAACATTTAACTTTGTTATGACAAAAATTAAACTAAATATTACATTTCAGATTTGCTGATCATATTCAGGCGCCTGGCACAAATTGAAAAGTAAAATGCTTACGTCTGTACGCAACTAAAAAATGATATAATAGTTTAGAGGGAAAAAATGTGTTTAATATACTAACTGATGAGCATTTGTACTCAAATTGTCGGGAAAAGTTTTGAACAAAGCAATGCTTTTCACAAAAAAAGGGGCGCGTTCTTATTCACAAAAACATAGAATTCGTGTTGCAGAAAAATCAACGGCAGATAACGAACTGGTAACATTATTTGCATGAATTAAAAATTAAACACACACCTAATTTAATAGATATTTTGTCTTATTATTAGACAATGATTCTAAAGGAATAAAACTTCATGAATGTAAATAACATATTTTTAGACACTGAAAATTTATAAATTATTTATGTGAAAATTCTTTCGGCACTCCAGTTCTTATAAAATTATAAATTAAATAATATTTGCATATTAGTAAATAACAAAAGAATATCACCGAATGGCATTTAAGAGGAAAAACATCAGTCTCGATTTATTCTAATTTATTCGTTTGCCAGCCCTTTAAGGCGAGATGGAAACGACGTCAAACCTCTCAAATTTTGAAATTAAATATCTCGGTCAGTTTGTATCTTACAGGAGTCAAGCTTTTTGCCCTTTATTTTTTATAATGAGTAGAAATCTTTTTCAAATACAAGTATACAAACTGGAGAACTATATAAAAAGTTAGATTTTGTCATTTTTGTAAACCTGACTTTTATAAATTAAATTATTTTTCAAATTTAATTCGTAAATTTTGAATTTCACCCCAAAGCATAAATATTTACATCTTTTAAAACACATCTGTTCTATGATCGCCTGCAACCAATGGTTGTCCGACGAACGTCATACCACGCCTATAACCAACGGATCCGAAACCAAAGGGCTAATAAAGGCCTTTTTTGACATTGTGTGTATGTGTATATATATATATATATAGATATATAGATATAGATATATATATCTATATATATATATATATATCTGTTGTATAATATATATTATATATATGTATACCGTATTGATGCATATAAGACGCACCCTTATTTAGAAGGCCACAATAACTTAAAGGTGGTTCTTTAGTTCTCACGTTTAGAAAAGCCAAATAACAATCATTGAATGCAATTACCAACATATTTTTATTAAGGAAAACTAACAAACGGCAAGCTATTTTGAACTTGATACTAAATTTCAATAATGAATAATGAATAAACGGCAAGCACCAAACATAATACAAAATAAAGAAAACAACAAAAATACAGATTCAAGGAAACTTCCTATCATGAAATTAGCTTTAATCACTTTCAAATCCATAAAATCCTTTTCACTATCATCACATCGAAACGAAATCGTCATCACTACTCTTTCCGCCATCGCTAGTTCACCTTCTTCGAATAATGGTTGGATGGTACATCAATGTGAGTGATTTCCCTCCATATTTCCTATTTGACCGAGCTCAAAAGAGTTTTTTGCGTCATTATAAAAAACCTATGAAATGCTAGTATTTTTTCTTTCATAATCTGCTGCATTTCTGTGCAATAGTTGTTTTTGTGCTCATTGATAAGCCTTTTCTGAACCTGTAGCACCAGCCCTCAGGACACTGAAAAGTTCTGATTCCCATTTTTTTTTGCAAATCCTTTGGCCTCATTGATTATCATTTAGTTGAACACTTATCCTGATTCCTCTTACTCTATCACCCACATTTTACGGCATTCAAGTTCAGAAGATGGAGCTGCTCGAAGGTTAGTTTTTGTTTTTCAGCAGTCTTCAGTTGATCTTCCTGCAGTCGCCAGTATGTATCATTTTTTTCGGTAGGTGGTGACCGAAATGGCCTTGCTGCTGCTCTTTCCATGCACTTTGGCGTAGTTTAACACTCCTAGTTTATACTGAATTGTATAGCTTAATCTCTTCTTTTCCTTAGTCTATTTCCAGGTCTTTTTTTAAAAAACAATAGTGTTAAGCGCCGATAACGACACGTTTATACAGAGTAGCACGATACCGACACGTGTGTCGGCTAGTCAGAAAGTCTATGTAAAAAGGAAAGGCTCCATAGACGTATGTGACCGTCACCCTGTTCGAACTTCGACATCAGCTTCGAGCTTGGCTTTTGGCAACATATTTCACCTTCGAAAATATTATGGCAGATGTAGAAAAGTTAGTGTGTCTAGACCTTTATCCGGGCTAAAATAGCTTCATTGAAAGTTTAACCTGTCTCCTTACGTATAAGACGGGTAATTTTTGAGACTAAATTTAGGAAAAAAAGTGCGCCTTATATGCCGTCAAATACGATATATATGTAAGTAAATAAAATAATTCTTAGTAATATATAAATCAATATGATTACACTATGAATAAATAATTATTTAATATTTCTAGGTAGTATGGTTTACAGCTATAGCTCCCTATGTCATATTAACGATACTTCTCATACGAGGCTTGTTACTTCCCGGAGCAGGACAAGGTGTCCAGTACTATTTACGTCCGGATCTTCACAAACTTTTAGACACTCAGGTAAATTTCCAGATTTATGTCTCATTGCAAGTAATCTTATTTATAAGTAGTATAGTATTTATAATGTTACGAATTTTGTATAATGTAACATGAACTAAGTTAAGAAAGTGAAGCTTTGCCGGAAAAATAAGATTGCGAGAGGAAATCTATTTAACATTAAGGTAAATGGTTATCTCGCTATATTGGCATGCTATAGCCAAGCTTTCGATGGTTTTGGCGAAACGTTTCGATAGTTTTAGCCAAAAGTCGCCAAACTTGGGGACCATTAGCAGACATTTTTGTCAGTTCCCTATATAACTGTAATTGAATAACTGTAATGTATCCCTATATGTAACTGTAACCGTATCCGACCCTTATATGTAACTTTAACTGCATATGCCCTCCAGCTACTTCAAGAAATCGAATGTACAGGGAATTCTCCTGCTGCTGGTAGAAAACTGTATAAGAACGCAGAAGGCAGCAGTTCTCAATTTTTAGTTCATTGACTTCGGAGTACTGAGAAATTTTCGTGCGAGCTTCGCTCTTTACATGTGCTTTGCATTTTTTGTATTTAACGTTCTTATTAGTTAAAAATGATAACTACTGATTGTGATCTGTTTTACTGAGAACTGTAAGAGTACTTTTGTGGAAAGTTCCAGAACTGTATTCTTTTATTCCTTTAGAAAAATAAATTTTATCAAGCTTTTATCGGTTCTGTGTACATTCAATCCAAAAAGAACCTATACGCACGTAACAGTACCTTCTACGAAACGATTTATCATGGATTTATCACTGGTATAAACTACTACTAAAGGAAGACGCATGTGCTTCATAAATTGACACTTATTAAAAAAAGGCACGTATTAAATTATCTTTATTAAAATGCTTAAGAATCCGTTCTCGAAATCCAAAATCTATATTAAATAAGAAAAGATTTTAAACAATTAACAGGATGTTCATTTATTTTGATTTTTATGCAAAATACTAGAAAATAAGGTAGTATTACCTATTGGCTGATTTCTTGATCGTGTTATCAGGAAAATTCTAATTGAAAAGTGAATCAAATTAAAGTATTTGGTAATTCTGAAATCGACTTTATTTCTTGATAGGTAATTATATGGAAGAGCATTAGGTGATTAATTAAATTATCTCGTTACGGTGTACAGTCTCTCAGTAATTTGTCTATAATTACAATTCAAAGAATTGGTGAAGCATTAATAATCAAATAACGCCTGAGTGATTATTCTCCGGCTGTGTGAAGGTCAATTACTGCTTAGAAGAGTTGAGAATTTCATTTATTTAGATTTTCTAAGAGGAAAAAAGAACCATCCTTACAACTGCTCCGGAATGAAAAAAGTTTTATTTGTAGCCTATAGAAGAAAGTTACAAATCTTTTGAAAAGCATTAATTAACTGGTAGGCTGATTTTTTTCCCTCAGTACGGTGGAATTTCCTAATATTATTTTTCGCTAGTGTATAAACTGAGCTCTCGGTTAACAAATCAGTTATATTTCTAGCTATAGTTCAATATGCTGTTGTCTCCGTTAGACATGAGTTCACAACTTATATCAAATAAAAATAGAAACACTAACAGATCAGTTTTGTATTTTAAGATCTAAACAAATCATTGAAACCATGTTGACAAAGGATTTAAAGAAAAAAGAATGAATGCTATTTAATGATCCTGAGATTACGGATTTAGAATGAACTGCTAATTCTCTTTAATATGAACATGAAACGAAATATGTATAGTACGTATAGCATACGTTAAATGTCATATACAAGGTGGTCATAAAAAAAATTCTCCACTTATATGAACACTTAGCTGCCTATTCACTCAACCAATTGAAATGAAATTTCAAATACTGTCATTTGAAGGTACGTGCTCGAGATTGCCATGATTTAAAACAACATAGCTCTCACGGTCACGATTACAGTGATAATATTTTGAAATTTTCGAATGGCAACACTCGCTTTTTTTTTTTTTTTTTTTTTTTTTTTTTTTAATATAGTCTATAATCACTCCTACTCTACTCACTCGTAGCTTAAAACAACGCAAGAGACATTTATTTAAACATGCAGATGGTTTTAACTAAAGAAACTCCCTCTTTCACATCCCAAACACGAATGTTAACCTTTTTTCAATTGAAGGTCTTGCATATTCTTGCTCCAATATGTACTACATATGTGTCAACTGGATAAATTTACTTTCGTTTGCTGAGCCAGTTTGAGGAATTTTATGCATATAATAAATTTTACATTAAACATCACCTGTATAAGTATTATCACGAAATAAAAGAATGATTTTCTGTAAGAAATGTTATTTTAGTTTTAAACTAACCAGTTTTGTTCAGTTACTTAGCTTTTCTGTCTCACCCCATTTCCATTTCTTCCAAAATGATATTTCAGTTTCACGTTATTTGCAAAGTTGGATAGAATGACACTTTTTAAGCTGGTATCTGAGTTACTTCAGATAGAGCGCGTTCTGCCGTTTGACAACGTTGTTTCTTTGATTTACGTTTGCTATTTTACGGCCTCTCATATTTATTGCCGATTTGTGTACGTCGGTGGTAGAACTAAGAGCCAACTCGCGTTAATTATCTCTTTGCAGCTTCGGCTCATTATTATACTGCTTCGGCTGAATTGATTAGACTTGGTTTTAATTTTGTGTTTCTGTTTTGAGTTGCAGCCAAGGGAATTGGCTAAGTTTGTAAGCACCAAGAGTGATGTCTTTAAATTACTTCTTGAATTGAATAAAAGGGCCTTTTCACCTTTCCCACATCTTGCATTGATACAGTTTGAACTTATCGAATCATCATTTCACAGTGCAAGTAAATATCTAGCCAGCAAAGTAATTTTAATTCAGGTAGAATCTTACATTTCTTTTAAGAAAATTTTAAAAATGGCAGTAAATAATGTCCTGTAAGACTGTATGCGGCCTGCTCAAGAATCAGAGATTTATTTCTGTTCTCATAGTATTCACCAAATCTTGATTAATAACGAACAAGTGGCTGAACTGCTAAAATCACCGAAAATTGGAAATTCAATTCGGATTTAAGCACCGGCAAACAAGTCGGATTTTTGACTGTTTTCTTTATTTTCCCGATGTGTAAAACATTTTGTTTTTATCCCTTGGCTTGCTTCCTATAGGCAAATATCCCTAGCTTTCTTTGTCATAAAAGATTAAATAAACTTCATAATGTACCTTCAATTCAACAATATATGCTTTCAATAAGACCTCTAAATACTTGAAATTTATGGTATGATATTGATGAACTAATAGGTTAAATTTAAATGTCAAAATTAAAAGTAATTGCGTTGAAGTTTGGTATAATGTTTTTCGTTTACAAAGCTCCAAACGAATGCTGACTGCTGGGCTGTTTTGCGTGGTTTTCCCCATGTGTAATGTGAATGCGTGCCAGCTTCCCTTAGAGTCCTTCCCGAAGGTATCCCTTCCTTTAGTCAGATAGTCCTTGCGTGCTTTTCCATATTCAAATAACCTGACCTTTCTTTTATAAAGAAATGGAAAAGACACGCTCAGAAATTCAAAATATAATAAAAAAATTTGAATTAAATGCAGTAAATGTAATATAAGGATGTATTCTAGATGTAACTTCTTTCCACTGTAATGAAATACTGTGTATAAAATGAGACGAGTTTTATAACCTCATGAAAAGTGTATTTTTATCAAAAATGTTTCTCAAGACAAAAGCTTCGAATTTTGGCTATATTAATCCAAAATCAATTAAAATCACCAATTTCCTCATTATAATTTTTATCTCGAAATATTTTCATTTGTATCTAAATTAAACACAAAGATTTTATCTAGTTTCCAAAATTCCTTTTGGTTTTGAAGATTATGAAAATGTACCCCATATTTCTTTTCTCATATCCCATTCTGTAAATTAAAAAAGATCCTGAAAAAAGGAAAGTCCCTGAACCGGAGCCGACTGACCAAGCTTTACCAAGAAAATTGACAAAGATTACTGACCAAGAAAAGGCAGATGAGCTTTGTTCCTTGATAAGAATCCTGGCTAGCCGATACTGTACTGCAAAGAATCAAAAAACGACCGAAGTTAGGCGATGTCTACTCCCCAAATGCCCTCAACAGACGAGGAAACTCCTACACAAGGAAAAGGACCCATATTTACTGATGGCAGATGGAAATTTCCGAAAAATCCTGCGAATGTTCCAGAAAAACCGCTATCGATGGATCTCACTAATGAAACCTGTTTTGAAACACTGAATAAACAAGAAGAAATGAAAACGAATGAAGAAATAGTTCAGGACAAAAACTTTCCGATCGTCTTTTCCCAGCCATCCGCTAATTAGATGAAATTAGGTGAAATTTTCCTGAAAATTTGTACAGAAGACATTAATTCACTATGAAGAAAAGAAACATCTAGGTCTACGTAAAAGCTCATCAGATTTCAAAAATGTGATCAAGGCTGAGAAATGGATGAGAAAAAGATCCCTTTTCATACATTCCAGTTATCTAGCGAAAAGAACATAATAAAGGAAAACCTACCGGCATCTGTTAAAGAGAAAGTGATCTTTACCGACCTCGAACGAAGAAAGTTCCCTATTTTAAATGTGAAGCAATTCTCCTGTGCAAGAAAAGGAAATACAGAGAAACTCCCAATATTTTTCCTGGAACTCAGCAGAAATAAAGATGGAAATGTGAATTTTCACCTGAACATTATGTTCAGTTTCAATGTTAAAATAGAGGTATTTTCTCCTAGGAAGACACCCACCCAATGTTTCCTTTCTCAGGCTTACAGACATACCCAGCACCTATGTAATAATCAAGAAAGGTGCTGCAAATGCGGAAAGACGCACAGAAGCAATGTTCGCCCGAAAATCCCTTCTGCATTTTCTGCGGTGAAGAGCATGTGAGCAGCTACAGAGGATGTAAAGCTTACAAAGAAAAATTGGAGAAAAAGAAAATACAGAAAGAAACGGCCCCACCCGAAGACTGAGATAAGAACTTTACCAGACTTCAAAATTCTAAAGAAAAACGAG